TGTGTGTGTGTGTGTGTGTGTATATATATATATATATATATATATATATATATATATATATATATATATATATACACACATGATGGAAACATAATATTAAGGTATGCTATATTTTTGGGTAAAATGCTCAATATCAATGATAACGTGTAAAAGTGGACACTGGGGTCAACACCAAGCGGCGACATTCTGTTTTATGCTTGAATGCAATATTCAGGCCATTTGAACATTGCGTTCAAATATTAAAGACTGTCACCATATATATATATATATATATATATATAAACCGTTTCAGCAGGCGGGCTAAATCACGTGAAATTACCATCGAAAGTCGATGCCCTCTTTTGTGCAATGAGAGTACCGTGATAATAAAACCTGAGGGGGGTGTTGTTCCTTGTGTTCGTGGCAAATATTAGCACCAACTCCTTGTTCTCATCACTTCCAATAAGTGTGACTGTTTCTATACAAACCTTCACCACTGTAAACAAATCATTTGTGTGGATAGTCTGCAGTTCAGTTCTGTTTCTTCTTTGCTATTCTACCTGCACAACAAGTCCACTGGCAAGAGAGTTGAGGTAAAGAGTTAAAAACGACAGGAAAGTTACTCATATATATATATATATATATATATGAAGAAATATAGTATGAGGTATTGGCCCAGAATTTTTGAAACATCGGTTTCTGTACGATCACCAAAGACGGCTTGGGAATATATATATTTTGAAAACGACGGGAGAGTTCATTATATATATATATATATATATATATATATATATATATATATGTGTGTGTGTGTGTGTGTGTGTGTGTGTGTATGTATTTCATGTTTCAAAACAATCTTCCGATCGTCTGATGATTACTTTCAAGCATGCAACAGATTATTTATCTATGGTTGACAGAACGAATTTCAACTCGAGGGTAATTTGAGGTTCAAGTCCCGCTCTCAATTTCTAATAAAAAATTTCCAAATAGCTCCATTTAGGTGTAAATGTACATGCTTAATTTGAAAATAACAAAGAATATTTGATAAAGTCTACCGTTTTGGAGTTATCAACAATAATGTTTCGGACTCATTCGCGTCGCGGTGGGTGAAGTTGAATTCAATCTATCTATCTATCTATCTATCTATCTTTCTATCTATCTCTCTCTCTCTCTCTCTCTCTCTCTCTCTCTCTCTATCTATCTATCTATGTGTGTGAGAAAGAGAGAAAGATCGAAAGAGTACACATTTTTATTTATAACAAAAACGTATGTGTAATAAAAGACTATTCTTTTATCGACTAAGAGAACAAAATGAATGGTCGACAGCAAAAGAGACAACATAAAGTGTGAGTTTCATAGTAGGGACGTCAAAATCAAACAGGTAAAGAATTTAAACTGAATAAACTGAAAATGTGAAGGCGCATAAGAATAGAGAAATATGTCTTCCAGACACTAAACAGGAGATTTTCATTATAAATTTAGAAAAGACTTCTGAATTGCTATGTAATGTCTATTCTCTAACCTGGAAATGAATGCTGGACAATTTCCGGACAGATCAAGACGAAGCATGAAACGGCAAATAATGCTTCTGCCGAAGGATGCCAAGAATTCCAACGACAGACTCAATATGTGAACAATGAAGAAGTTTTAGAGAAAATGGAAATAAAATAAATACATAATTTGTTGTAGCATACGACGATAATGGCTATATCCACATTCACATAAATACAGTAGTAAATACTGTATGTTGGTCTGCAGTTGAAGATTTGTCTCCAGCTGTGCTGGTCAAACTCTCTTCTTCCAAGCAGAGAAGATCCCCAGACAAGCTTATGTCAATGGGCAGAGTCTCGTCTCGGGAAACAGCTACCCCACCCCGTTTTATACAGGGTGTACAGGGAATTTTTGGCCTAACCCACGGGCTCGGATACCCCATATTAAATTCGGCCTTGAGCCTCATCTGACCGCGTGGGGTGATTGGTGGATATCCTGCAGTTAGAGATTCATTGTGGTATTCACTTGAATCACTTCTAGTAGTTGACTAGGTCCTCTAAGCGCCGCTGGCGAATCTTATATGTGTTGTTCTTGTCCTAAGTATTATCGTTCATTACCAATCTTTATTTGATTATTCTATTCACTAACCTTCCCTAGGTTATCACATAACTAACATCAGAAAATGAGGGTTGAAATTTCTAGGGTATATAATGAGGAAAGAGAATTTAGAAAATTTGATACTCACAAGGCAGATTAAAGGTAAGAGGGATAGAGGAAAGCAGCGTATAACCTACCTAACGAGCTTGTGTAAATAGCTGACAGAACAGGGATTAGGAGAGATATCAATAAAACAAAATTTACAAAGAGCTACGAAGGACAGGGAATTTTGAAGAGCCACGATCTGAAGGGACACGGTGCATAGATGAAGAAGAGGATCTGGGAAAAAAAAGGATAAAATATTCGCGAACTTCTAGAATCAAAGCGCCGACAGCGTGAGAGTTTTCATAGGGTACGCTTTGAGTACCCCGGCATGACAACACCTAGCGTCGTCATAACTGCAATGGAGAAATATAAAACAGGAAACATTTTCTTTTAGAAAGAAAATTCAAATTGCATTCTAAGTATTTCTATTCGGGAAGCGATCTGAAATGTTCTTTATACGTTTATTTGAAAACAACATGAAGTTTTGATGCATTATTAGTTAAACGTCAGTTTAAAAAATGAATCTTGTTTTGTTTTGTTTATTTTCACCTCCACGCACGGCTTGCATCAATACCTGCTCACATTTGATGCTAATTATTAGTGATTTTGTTACTTCAAGTGTTAAGTGCAAAATAAAGTTGAACTCCCTCTTTTGAAATTCACTCCTTGTCTTCATTTTGTTCTCAGCACACTGCTGTAGTTAATACATGCTTTCCAACGATGCTATTTATTAATGTTTTTGCTACTTGAGGCGTTAAGTGCAAAGTCACGTTTTGACTTTTGAAATTCATTCCTTGTTTTGTTTATTTTTTACCCCGTAGACAGCTATGATTAATACCTGCAGTCAACCGACGTCATTTAGTAATGTTTTTGTTACTTTAATTCTTACTTACCAAATAATTTTAACTAAAGTCTCCCTTTTGAAATTCGCTCATTGTCTTCATTTAGTCCTCCGCACACTGCAGTGGTTAATACATGCTCTTCACCGATGTAATTTACTAATGTTTTTGTCACTTTCATTCTTAACTTTCAAATAACGTTAACTCATGTCCCCTTTTTAAAATTCGCCCCTTGTCTTCATTTAGTCCTCCGCATACAGCTGTGGTTAATACATACTATTTATTAATGCTTTTGTTACTTCAAGTGTTTAGTGCAAAATGGCGTTAATTAAAGTCCCACTTTTGAAATTCCTATCCTGCAGACACTCTCCTTCGTTTTGTGTTCCACCCTCTACTGAGACAGATACCTGCTATCTACTAATACTATTTAGTCTCTTGTGTGTCACCATAGTTTTATTCTTGGCTTACACAACTCGATGGAGAAACGTTGACACTGTGCTGAAGGTGTTAAATAATTTCTGCGCGTCACATCAAAAGAAAAGAGAGAGATAGAAAAAAGCCTGATTAACTGATTAAATGCTAATTTAAGTCGTAATTGCTTTTTTAATGAAAGAAGTTTCTTTACTGCAAGATGCTGTCTCCTTGGAGTTATAGAGGACAAATAAAAAAATATCGGTCAATCTCAGCATTCGCCATACTGCAAAGTCATGTCAAGCAAACAAGTTTCAAAAAGAGTTACTACTGATCCTCACTTACTATCCCTCTTCAATTATGGCCATGTGCCAGACTAGTCTAAACTTAATAAAATGTTTTAATATCAAAGACCTGTGGCAGATTAATACTACTTGATCCTCGATGGATGTCCTACACTTGTGGCCTCGAACCAGGCTAAGGTAGATTTTAGAAATATCGATTATAATAGCTGTTGTTCTCTTAGTGTGTGTGTAATGCTTATTCGTTATCTTAGTAAACAGTAGCTTCGCATTCCCCTTGTATATAACATTTATTAAGTTTGTCGAATACGACACAGGGGCTGAAATATGCTCCTTCCAGCAGGAATCGAACTCGTAGCAATCAGAAAACTGCTGAGAATATCATGGACTGGACATGTGAACAACGACGAAGTTTTAGAGAGAACTTAAACCAAAAAAAGAACACATAAGAAAGAAGCAGCTGCCATTTCTATGAGACATAATGAGGGAAGAAGGCTTAGAAAATTTGATATTCACAGGGCGGAATTTACGTTAGACGGAAAGAGGAAAGCAGCGCATAACCAGAGATTAGGAGGGATAGCAAAAAGAACGACAAAGGAGAGGTAATTGCGGAGAGCCATGATCTGAAGGGACATCGCACATAGAAGAAGATCAGCCGTAATAGTCTCTGCTTCAAGATAACTAACCTTTGCTACACGGTGAAGGGTTCGAACCGAATGATATGCTATCAAATACGATACAAATTTGTTGTTTTCTGCATTGTCCCAAACCCACAGCGGCTTACGGTCACATCACGTTGAAACATCATCGAAGCCGAGCCTGGTCAGTATCTTGATGGGTGAACGCTTGAGTATATCAGGTGCTGTAAGCTTGGATGTGCAGGTGGTGTAACAGATAATGGCTCAGAATTGTTAATCGGAGAGCCGAGTTCCAATTCTAGTTGAGATAGTTATATTTATTTACGCGCAAATATCAGTGGGAAATGTATGAATCCACTTCTCTCCCATCTATGGGTTAATTAGTAAAACTTGTATCACTAAATCATTATTACTTTTTTTTAAATTTTTACAATCTAAAGGGAGATAAGCCATCTTGACAAAGAACTGATTTACATGCCTTTTGTAGTCATCTAGAAAATTGATTTTTTTTTCATCTCGGGTAATTAAAAATTACAAATATAATGAATCCAGTTAATGAAAGAAAATTTCCCAGCTGAATTGTAACAATTTTTACTTGGTCAACAAAGAAACATGCCTTCATAACTGCGCCATTTCTATTAATTCCAGACATTTTTGTGAGAGAGAGAGGTGGGTAGAAAGAGGGATAGAAGAAAGAATGTGAGGGGGTAGAGAGGAAGAGAGAAACAGAGAGAATGAGATGAAGAGAGAGAGAAAAGAGATAGGAGAAAGAGGGGAGAGAGAAGAGAGGGAGAGGGTGTAGAAAGGAGGGAGGGAGAGAAGGAAGCGAGAGAAGAGAAAATGGGAAAGAGAGAAGAGAGGGAGAGAGAGAAGAGATGGTAGAGAAAGGGAAGAGAGAGAGAGGGAGAGAAAGAGAGAGATGAGAGAGAGAGAAGAGAGAGAGAGTGTGGGAAGAGAATGGTGGATGCAATGAAACTTCAACAAGAAAATGAAGCATTAAAAATCTACAGAAATCATATCCTTTTGAATTGATTTACATTATTTACATTGCAATTCTGTTGTTATTATTATTGCTTTTCTCTATAACTCCGTATTATTCGTTCCCATATTGCATACATTTTTATGCTTAGGTCGGCTTAGGAGATTTTTGTAGCCTAGTATATGTGCTGATTCCTTATGTTTTCGTATTTTCCAGTGATGTTGTCTTTATTATTTCAACCTCATCCCACAGGGGTCAGTGATCTCTCTTTTCCCTCCATATGTGATCAGCTACGCCTGTTTTTTCTATTTCCCCTCATGTCACGGCTTTATGATGTTCTTGCAGTCGTACCATAAGGGAGCGGCCTGTTTCTTACCACATATTTCTTGCTACAGCTGCACGCGATGTCGTACACACAGTCCGTAGTCATGTTTTCCTCTATGGGGGTGTCTTAGTCGGAAGAGGTGTTTGTGAAATGTCGAAATACTTTTGAAGGTCATCCTGATGTTATATTGACCACATATCTTTTGTATTTGCTCCGATAATCTCTTCACATAGGATAGTCAGACCGAATCTGTTTTCTGAGTGTTGTTATCGTATTTGAATTTGCAGTACAATTGGTATAAGCAGAGGCGGAAAAACGATGTTGCTTTCTATTGGGGTATGTAATGCAAACATTGTTACTTTCTCTAAGTAAAATATAACAATCTCAGATCAATATATATGAATGGAGGCACGAACAAACAAAAAATAATCTATCAGTGAAGGAAACACGTCGGCTTCATATTTGTTAGCGAAACCACATCTGTCGGCTCATACGCTGAGCATGTCTACAAATTCGATTCACTACTGGTAAAGCTAGTAAGATAAGGATTCTTACTTTTATCCATTCCTTTTTTTTTTTGTGTGTGTTCTCCTATCTACAGTAAGAATATATCCAGCTTTGGATTTGGATTGCCATTTTCCGTTTATTCTCACTTTTTGCTTGTTCTGATAAATTTGATTACGCGTGGCTTTAATTCCGAATGAAAGACCGCTAAGAAAATTGCAGCAAGACGTACGGAAGATGACAAAGCCAATTTTAGAAAAGAAAAAAAAGTCTTAGATACATGTGCAGGATAACATTTTTTTTATTGGACACAACTGCCACTGTTTCTTGTGCTGAGGATAACGAATCGTGCACTCATGAGCAGACGGACATTCACCGAGGTCATATCCATAAATGCACGCATGCGTACTTTATCTATATAGCAATAACATGCTATCCAAAAGCGCGGGAACTTTAAACAAACTGATCAATCCTCCTTCACATTACCAAGCATTTTCTGTGTCTCACCAGTCACTTTTTACATACTTTACAATTACGTCATTAGGAAATATTAAACTGTCATCAGTATCTCTTTCATTGAGGATGACATTCAGGCATTTAAGTCTTTTTAATTGATTTCTACGGTTTATCAACTCTTTGCGGGTTATTTAAAGCCAGAACATATTTCTGGATTGTAAGGATATATTTTTGAGAAGGAAGATAATAATGATTTAGTGATATAAGTCTTACTAATTAACCCATAACATAGGAGAAGTGGATTCATAGCTTTTTTAAATGAATATAAAGAACACAACTGGAATACGAACTCGGCTCTCGGATTAATAATTCCGAGCCATTATCCATTCGTTACATCACCCGAATATCTAAGCTTACAGTACCTGATATTCCCAAGCCGTCACACATTTAGGTACTGACCAATCCTGAATTTGCTTAACTTTGGTGATCGTACAGGAACCGATATATATATATATATATATATATATATATATATATATATATATATATATATATATATATATATATCATGAACTCTCCCGTCGTTTTTGGCGTATGAGTGTCTTTCAATGCAGTTTTTAATACTGTACCTGTCCCCGTCCTTTAACTCTGCTGCCAATGAACTTGATGGCCAGGTGGAATAGCAAAGAAGAAACACAGAACTGAACTGCAGACTATCCACACAAATGATTTGTTTACAGTGGTGAAGGTTTGTATAGAAACAGTCACACTTATTGGAAGTGATGAGAACAAGGAGTTGGTGCTAATATTTGCCACGAACACAAGGAACAACACCCCCTCAGGTTTTATTATCACGGTACTCCCATTGCACAAAAGAGGGCAGCGCCTTTCGATGGTAATTTCACGTGATTTAGCCCACCTACTGAAACAGTTTATATATATATATATATATATATATATATATATATATATATATAGTATATATATATATATATTGAGAGAGAGAGAGAGAGTATATATATATATATATACATATATATATATATATATATATATATATATATATATATATATATATATATATATATATACATACATACAGTATATATATATATATATATATATTATAAGTTTACTTATTTAAAAATATGGTTCCATCGCTACACTATGCTTCAAAAACAGAAGCTAAAAACTTCAAGTTAAATTATGGAATAAAATTAACTTAAAGTCCCTAGTTCTGTTTCATTTTCAAACGAATTCAATTGAAAAATAAGAACACCATATTATACATCTTACTGTTCTTTCTCTTTATTATAATATATATATATATATATATATATATATATATATAGTATATGTATGTATACAGTATAGATATATATAGTTGTATATTTAGGCAGCAATCCTTCCTTTATGCATGTTTCATTAAAAACGGCATTTGAACTCATAGATAATTTATTACAAAAACCAAATGCATATTAATTACAAACAAGACGAATCTTCTCTAAGGCATATTATAAAGAAATATACTACTCCAATTGACTAGAATAAAAAAATCAAATTAATTATCTATTATAAAAAAAAAATTTATACAAAAAAGACTGTTCACCTTATCCTCACCACCAGCTAAGTCAAAATTACAAAGGACGAACATTATCTATGAGTTCAAATGCCCCTTAAGGAACTGTGTTCCTGATCAAACATATATATGACCTATACTTAAGCAGTAAAATATCTTTCCAACATGTTTTATATCATTAAACTGAAAAGTTTTGTCTATTCAATTTTCAATTAATTTTTCAAGTTGGCCTATGTGTTGCCATATCATACTTCTAACGAAAATGCCCAAAATTAATAATGTTTTGATTTCTTATACTTTCCACCATCTTTACGAATTATAAGAATTAACATTATTAGTATACACACACATTGAATTATATTTTAAAAGTTAACAACATTATGCAATAAAATAACCGCGTGTTTTTTTTCTTCTCAATAGCCTTAAGAATAATTCAACATATAACCGCTCCCAAATATCAAATGACGGCTACGATAACACAATAAACCGGAAATATCTTGCTAGCCATAATGCCCTATTAACCAGCATATATAAATAGACGAGCTACCCCACAACACCTGAAGATTGTGTCTGCACATTCTCTACCTGGTATTTTACCCATAAATATAGTGTGCGATGGGTAAATTATCGCCATTTTATATTTTTTGTTTCGCACATGCGCATTGTTTGTTTTTTGATTTTTTTCGACTGCACAGTATAGTAGGGTCATTTGGGTACCGTCCACAAGAAAAAGGGTATCATGGCGCAATTTACTCCGCCAGAAATTTGGAAACGGCAAATGGCATTCGCATCGGAAGCTCCAATACGAACATTTCAGAGCGTATAGGTGACAATCTGAGGACAATTCAAAGGATTCTGAAAGAGTTGAATGAGTCTAATGGTGTTAGGAGCGATCACAAGTGATGGCGACGTTATGCCTCCATTCATCTTCCTACAGGGCCCCAGACTTAGCACTGAGGCCTACATCAATTGAGGAGATAGGGCTGCTTTTGGTCAAGAGGGTGCTGGTAGGCCCTGTGTCTGGACTCTACAACATGCCACACAAGTAGGAGAATCCAGTCATGGCTGTCAGACAATTTCTGCGACCACATCACGCCTTACATCTAGCTACCTAAATCCCCAGACTGCAACCACCCTGATTATTATGTGTGGGAAGAAGTTGAGCAACAAACCAAAAAAAACTCTTTGTAACTCCAAAGATGTACTGAAGGCAAAGATTATGGCAGTATTCACCAACTTAAACAAGGAGAACGTCCAGAAGAGATGACGGACATTTTGTAGTCTTGGTTGAAGCCAATGGCGATTTTATTTAATAAATTTATGAATTTACTCTTTAGTATTGCAATATATATTTGTTTAATTTTGGTAAATATATCTGTTAAATGGGGATATCAGTCTTATTTTCATTTTCGCGTAATTTAGACAATAATTTATCCATTGGACCCTGTATAGCATACCTTAAAGCTATATTTATTTTATATTTACATATATATTTTGTTTTATATATATATATATATATATATATATATATATATATATATATATATATTAGAACTTGTATCATCCTGATTGGGCATTAAGGGCACCCCTCGTGTCTTACAATCAGTCTACTCGAATCAAATATAGCAAAGGAAATTTTCATGTTAAATTCAATCGAGGAAGCAGTTTATTTCTTAATGTATTTTTTGTAATTTTTGAATATCTAAGATATTTTTCCGAGACAAGTCGATGGCGTAATATTAAAAAATACTTCCACTATATACATCGATGATGTAATATCTAAAATATTTCAAAAATATAAGTTGATGGCGTAATATGTAAAATATATCCACTATATAAGTCGACGGTGTAACATCTAAAATACATGTGGGTCAATGGCCTAGTAACTAAAATACTCCTAAGTCGTATGACGACAGTATAAAATTGAAAATACTTCCAAGTATAGGTCGTCGGCGTAATATCTGAAATATCGTCAAATTGTCAGGGACATTATAAAATAGACAGTTTCCTATATAATATCGTGGGCAACAGACGTGTCGCAATGGATAGCCCGAAGCTATCGCAGATGAATTCACTAGTCTAATGAGTCTGATCTTCTTTTGGTCCCTCTTCTCTTTTGGCCCTGTGCCAGA